AGGTTACCGCTGCTGCCAGCATCACCGGTTACGACGTAGAGCCGAGAGCAGCTACGGCAAGCCACCCTGCAACCCGCATAACAGGGATGGATCGCCAGAGACGTTGCCTTTCTTCTCTAATACAATTTTACGCTACTTTTTTACTTTACATTTTGCCCAAGCTAATTTACCATCCCACACCAGCTCACTCATTTGAGCTCTCGGCTGTACTTAAAAGATTGAGGCTTACGCATGGCAAAGATTTTGTAATTAAGAATGATTAGAGGTCTCCGGTTATCGTAATCACAAAAATTGCATACGAAAATTGCCTTGAGTTTAATAGTCGAGAATTAAAAATTTAATTTATTAATTACTAATTTTTCATTTTATCCATCGCACCTTATAATGAAGCTTGACCCTGAAAATAATTCGAATTTTTAATGAATGCGGACGTTAAGAATAAAATTCTTTAATAACACTATATAAATTCTTTCAATATAATCTCATGACAATAACAATCTAAAATTTTGAAATTATCATAATTGTGGGAAAAACTCAAAAATTCCAAAGAATTTTCTTTGAATATTTATAATAATTAATTATAATATGTTCTACAATATATGTATACGTACACTGCTTATAAATATTTCTCTATATTTGTAAATTTTATTCGCCATGTAAAACTACCAGTGGTATACTACAAATCGAAAATTGCTTTGATTAAGTACTCTCTCTTGTCTCCATTAATCCTGAATTAATGATAGAATCCCTAACAACGTCCCGCGTACGCGGAGCCCTACTCCGGCCCTACGTCTTACCGAGTAGGCGTCTCTCGCAGATTGCAATCAGTCATATTAGCTGGACACACCTCGGATATGTGCGCGACCATCTGGCACGTAGAAGCTTGGGGTTGTACGCGTCAGGAGTAACGGACCACCTGACGTAATCACCGGTGCCGGCGGCTCGACATCACCACCGCCGCCACCGTCATCATCTGTACCAGCATCGTCGCCGTCGCTGAGTTGGCTGCCCCCGGAGACCTAGCTCCCGCTGCCGGCTGGCTTATCGGTCTCACGGCCCTCCGATATAGATATACGATATCGCGGAAAATCATTTTCGAGAGATAGCACCGACGAGAGATGTATCGCCCGTGAGATGCATGACCCGGATCGCCTCCGAACGTATTGCCACGCCTTCCTCCAGACGTGTCGGTATTCCGAAGTCTATTCCTCTTTTTCCTCCGAGTTCTCTTTTTCGCCCTCTTCTTCACGCGCTTTTGCGCCGAATGACAACTGTATGAAAGTGGAGGGATATCGACTATGGAGTGTCGGCTATCGATCATAGATTCGATGAGAGAAAGATTTATTCTGTAATCAAATCGTAGAAAACGAGGCAAGAGTTATTTGAAAAATTGAAGGTGGTCATGAATACCCCATAGTCGTTGGTGCGCGAAAGACGTCTTGACGTTGCATTGGAAAATTATGACGAGGATGGACGATTGCCGTCACGAAATCTGTACGTTACCGAAGGCCGGCCGGCCCTAATGCATAGAGCAGTGGCATCGCCTTCATTAATCACTTTCAATTAAGAGCGCGATAAAGCCGCGGCGTGTCGGACATTCGGTCAAGTTAGCGGTGCCGTCTTCTCGTGAGATAAAATGATCGCGAGCTACCAGCGAGCGTGCGCTTTGTCATGGTTCGCCGCTCGACGGACATTGCGGTACGCGCCCTCGCAACGCACCGTTCTCTTATGTCTGTCTCTCGGTACCTTGAGAATCCTGAAGAGGCATCCTCCTCCTCCTCCTGACATACGACGGCGATACGATATCGTAGAAAATCGTTTTCGAGACCGAACGCGAGATAAATCATGACCCGACCATTGCCGCCACGAGGCGGCCACGCCTTTCCTAGACGTGCCGGCATCCATTCGCCTGGTATCGCAGGATAGGCAGCAGCATCCCGTTCTCCTGGTGGAGAACAGCTCTCGCGAAAGGTTCATAAGGTCGCCGCTGGGTGATACATGCGCCCGGGGAGATGCGCTTCTTCTTTCTGCACGGGAGAAAAGCTCTCTACGCGCACCTGCGATTATATACTTAGTCGGGCGGGTTTATAATGCCCGGGCGCGTACGCTACGCCAAGGAAATTATCGCGATAATTTCATCGGGACGAGGCGGGTGCGATTATGATCGGCTCCGCTTCGCGCCGCAGGTGTAACGAATCGAAAATTGCATCGCGCCAAGTCCAAATTGCACGCCGTTCTTTTTTCGACAGTTATATATTATTAGCGTTACGATTTAATTATCCTTCCTTATCGCGCTACTGCGATCTGCACGCTTCTGTATCGTGAATTTTTTTTTATGTGTCTCACTTGTTACGTGATAGTGTACGAGGCATCGCAGTTACTATTGAAATAGAGAGGGAGAAGTCTCGGAGATACCAGATAACGTGACGTCGAATGAAATTCTCGTTAGGGAAAAATCCACTTCGAATTAGACGGACAGACAACGCGACGCTGTAAACGAGGAGCGACAGTTTTAGGTCATCCTGTATCTCTTCCTTCCTCTACCAACGCTGGGAATTCTGGTCCATTCTATGTACATGCATTTAGATTTTATAGAACGCGATAGGTATCTGTTCCCTTTTCCTCCCCTGCCTACCGTCGAGATAACTTCGCGTTGCGAGCCACGTTGGATGACACTCGAAATGAGAAATCTTCCAACGACCCTCTTCCGAGGTCATCTACGTCGGAAAAGACGGTATCCTCGAGGACGCCAACTCAACGGATAACGCAAAAAGCTACCGCGCGACTGACTCGACGATCTTGTTAAAATTCACATTATCCGCGGATCAAGTTACGGAACTTTCACTTTAATATCCTTGTTTGCTCCCGTTGCGTAACGTCATTCAGCGTGTCGGGATTAAAAATGAAAAATGGAAATTCGAAAGAGCTATATCAAAAAGTACATCTCGATGTGAGATGCAAACATGCTTTTGTCATCGTTTTGAAATCGTGTTTTCGTTACAAAAAATTCCAAGATAATCAAATGCAGCATTTAATCCTGAAACAGAATTTTCTAGTAATTTATTATACTCCGAAAGAAGAAAAAAGTTATCCGCAAGCAACGATACAGTTTAACATTAACGTTATTAAAATTGTCATGTAGAGGGACATATCGTGCGTATATAAATGGTAATGCTGCTACTTCCAGCGGGATTAATTTAAAGCCACTGAAAATATCCTGATAATTGGTCCCGCTTTTGCTTCAGTTTAATTCTTTGACGACTCTGTCACATTGAATTCGTTCCTTTCTCCATAATGAAGAACGTCGGCTTATTCGCTTAACTCGATTATCATATAATAGGCTTACGTCCGCCGATGAAAACAACGTTTAATAAAGTCCGCCAAGCGTAATCCAGCACCTTTTTCGATCGTCTGGCGAATATCCCGATTAAGTATTCTCGCGAATTAACATTATCCATGGAATTATATGCTAATGTACGAGTTACGAGCCGAAGAGAGATAACTGATGAATCCGACTAATTGTACTATAAGGGGTATCTTGCAAATAAAATATTTTGTCTAAATGCAAAATATGAAGGTGTAATTAATAACAATAATGATTGTTTCGTTTATACTAATTATCTTAAAATTATTTAAGAAAAGTTTAAAATCTTTTTAACATAAATATGATTAAATCATTCAACGTTTTATAAATACTTTCGTAAATACTATTATTTCTATATATTTATGTGTATAAAATATAATGTGTTTTTATTATAGCAATATTTATAATTATAAATATATAATTATAAATTTAAATATATTGCAAAAAATACAAGGAAGAAATTTTTAATGATCTTTTAACAGCGAAGTAAGAGACTTGGTGATTTCGGGGACACCCGGTGTAGGTGAGAAGCGAAGATGAATTATGCAACGGCCAATTAATAAAATTCCAATCACACTCGTTGGTCGCGCGCGCCGTCGCCTCGTAAAAACGATTCCATCGATCGAACGCCTCGAAGCATCCGGAATGAGCCCCAAGCGGGCTTTAATTCGCTCTGGAATCAGCTACGGAAAATTCTACGGGCATATTGAAGATAGATCAGAAAAATGATTGGTTCCTCTGTTAAGAATGTGATAATCTCGTCACTTGATGTGACTTTCATAGTGGCGTAAAACTGCATTGCATTAAATTAACTGACATAAACAAATATACTCACATTGTATACATGAAGCGATCAATATTGTTTTAAAATAAATTTTTGCTACATTTACTCTTCTCTTGAAAATCTTTAAAAGATATCGTGCTAAACGGTGATAAATATCCATATTATACGTACATGTCTTTACATGCGTATCCACGATGGACTCCTCGATATCGACGCCGTTCAAGTTTACGCGGCATTCGAGTTTACTTTTGTGTTTTACGCGGCTCACGTTTGATCGAATCATAAGAGAGAGAGAGAGATGCAGTGAGTTTTTATCGAGTGCTAGAAAATTTACCTCGGCTGCGCCTGAAATTAGATCGAATTTCAGATGCGCAACGACGAACACAAGGCCGCGCGGAATCCGATCCTGGTATGTGTTAATTAACGTTTCTCTTGCGTCTCTGGTTGCTCACTTCGTTATAGATTTAGATAGTGGGTGATTTCAATCATTATTAATTAGCACTCTTTGCTGCTATCGGTAATCCTGCGAGATAAAATTCGTTACAAATTTGCAAATATGCTAAAAAGTGTTGTACCCATTAAAAAATGATACGAGTTATTTTATTTTAAGTTAATTGTGTGTTATTAATATATACTACTTATTTATATGATTTTTTTTTCTTACGATTAATACAGAAATTGTCGGCACATCTTTAAAAAAAATTACAGCATCTGCATCTTGCAGCGTTATTCCAAACACATTCTTATACCTTGTCACGCAAGCGTATAATAACCGCTTGTCATAAATATTTAAGAGAACATTTCGACCATTATTCAACTGATATCTAATCCAATCCTCATTCGTATGTTCCAGGTAAGAAACAGGGCATAATGCTTTGCTGCGCTGCGGTAACGTGCTGGTCCTTCGCTGGGTACGTGCCACGCTTGCATAACAGGATACATTTTCGTTGCCTCACACTTTTCGTCATACTCCGCGATCTTAAGACAGGTCTATTTTGACCGAAAAAAATAAATGAGCTCATTTTCACGAGCGTGCCGTAATAGTAACATTCGAAGGCTCCGCAGTTTGTGAAAATTGTGGAACTTTTTGCGAGCGAAAGAATGTTTCGCAAATTCGAAGAACGAGGTTCAGAAATGAGATTATATTTCCGACAGCTAGTAAATTCAAAATTATGACAGATAAATCAATCACGACGCGATGTAGGAAAGCCTTTTGTTACGCTCGTGCGCAGACACCCGAGCAAATCGCGAAATCATTTCCGGGAAGGAAATAAGAAAGATCAAAGCTTTAATCATCCACCTTAGAGATTTCCGAGCGCGTTCACTGTCGGGTTAAGGTCGCCACGCCAGGAAAAGAGACCGGTGAGAAGGGGAGAAAGGAAGAGTTGTCGGTATTCGAGTCAGGTGAAAAAAAATCTCTCTTTCTCTCTCTCTTCGCAGCAGGGCCCGGACGGGGCCCGGACGGGGCTCGGTCGGGCCGGGTCCCTATTGTCGGCGGTCCATGGAGCCGCCCGCTCACCTCGTGTCGGTAACAAATGACGCTGCGTGTTCCTCCCTGGATGTCACTCGGTATCAGCCGGTCAGATCGTCTTTAACTTGAGCAGGCGCGGGCACTCTTGCGAGACGAGATTCCACAGTGTTCTCGTTACGCGAAGAATTCCCTAGTCGTCGTGCTTTGGCGGGGCACACTCTTGATGATCGCGCTGAATGAGTCATGCGAAATGCAGAGTTATAACTATGCTCTCTGACTGTATCAGTGGATAATCGCTTTAATTACTCAGTGGCATACTTGACATTGATAATCAGTGAAATTTAACTAAAAAAGGAAAAATGTTTAAGCATTTTGTAACTAAAATACTGATATTTGCATGTTAATTTCAATTTTCCAATACTATATTCATTGAATTTGTGCACTAAAACGAGATTAGTTAGATCACATAATAAAGACCAGCTAGGTTAAGGATCTCACATTTTATTTACTGATTACCAGTGGTGTACTTGGCACTGATATCCATTGATTCAGATTTAGAGAGTAAATAAACAAAGAGTCATTTCTCTAACTTTCGATCCACCGTGAAATTCGTTCGATTTCTCGATGTTGTTATTCGTGCGATTTATTTGCAATAAAAAAAAATACGCGACGTAAAAATACAGCGTTAGACTATACAGATATTTGATTATCGTTAGTTTCTATCCTTTTTTTTAACGATGGTCCATTATTTTCCCGCGGTGCTTAGCGTGTATCGCACTCTACGTATGCGATACTTGAATTGCATATACTTTTACGTCGACCATTGTATACAGTTTATGGACAGGTATTTTCTTTTATAACTCGAACCGTAAAGACTTTACGAGACGCCGTGTGTACGTAAAATCATCTCAGCCGGCCCTCCGTAGAGTTCTTTTTTAGGTTTATCTCTTTCCATCAGTCAACGATCCTATTAATTTCTTTCGAGGCTCCATTTGTGCCTTCAGAAACTTTATTCGACGATATATTTGCATAGGTCGATTAAAAGTTTAGGTTAATTAAACATTCAACTTACACATTCCTGTGATCATTCCTAATTAGTAACTCCTCTCTTTCTTATCCTAATATTCACTCTATCCTTGAAAAATTGTGTATTATTCACATTAAAAAGTATAACGACCAGTAACTAGGGAATAATGAATGTTTTAATAAAAAAAGCTCTAATTTAATTTTCAATTAATTTGATAAAAAAAATAAAATATAAAGCTCATAAATTTACAAAGCAAAATAAGAAGGTCTATTGTGTATAATTATTCTATTAAATTTTAGTGATACCTAAATTATTTTCCATAATTCATAAGATACTCGAAAATATCTCACCAAAAAATTTTGTCTTACATCTAAACGTTAAAATACTAACTGTAAGATCCTCGCGATAGTGTCTATTTATGATGTATGTAATTCCTTTAGAAAAAAATTTACATTCAATTTTATTTAATATCGACTTTACAAATTGGTATAATATATACCGTTTAAGATATATTATTGCAACATTAAAGAATATAGTATATATCGTTCCCCGACGCCAAGTTTCATGCTATAGAAGAGTTTAAAATACCACCTGCTACTTAAAGCGTGCAAAATGTTGGGGGTCTAAAGAAAGAAAGGAAACAGAAAGAGCACTACCATTGGTTAAAGAAAACGCGTCCCGCGCGGAATTTTGCCTGCACACAACAAGGCAGCAACATTTTAACACGCTCAAGCGACAAATAACCGCTATTAAGCGCAACAGCTGTACCGCGATCGCGGTGCAAGTATGTGCCGCTTGCGGCTTTGGTTGTATCCCCTCGTCTTCTAAAGAATAAGGGTCTGCCGATCGAGAAGGGGGTCCCTCTTCTACTTGTGTGGCCGGATCGACGACGACGCCTATATAGTGTCCAGAAACCACAGCAGTACCGATACGTGGGATCGATCGATGGATATCAGACATTAAGGCAGGTATACGCACTGTCGATCTGTTCGGTTTGGTTTGAAAAGAGAGGAAAACATAATTTGTATATTTTTTCTCATTCTTTAAAATTTTTAGAGTAAATTTTACTGTGAAAGCTGAGTTGTTTTAACTCACCATCTTACCCTCTTACTCTCCTATGCTCATATTCTTTTACTCTTTTGTTTATCCAGTAAATAAATTATCATATAGTTTATCCGAAGAATGGAACAACCGGCTCTTCAAAGCCACTCTTTTTCAAGACTAGCTCAATTTTATTTTTTAGAGTAAAATTTCATTCCAAAGAATGTAGAAATTATATATTTCTGTCATCTGTTAACTTAATACTATTTTTTTATGTTATGAAACGTTTCAAAAAGCAATCTTTTTTTATTTGAGAGAAAGAGAGAGAGAGAGAGAGAGACACATATTGAGAATAAGAGTTTTTTTAATAAAAGATACAAGTACTACAGTGTGAATCATTTCAGCATTATTTAACATTGACAAACAACAAAAATATTTACACTGTATTAACTGCGTTTCCTTCGGAAATAGTCATTACATTCAATATAGTATAAATACAATAGAATGCAATTTTAAATTTTCATAATTAAATAAAATAAAAAATTAAAATATAGATATAATAAAAAATATTTGCAAGTAAATTGGTCTGTAAATTTGATATGTTTTTCTAGAAAAGTTACTGTACTTTCGAGAAACAAAGAAAATATCTACCTTGTTATTTTTTATATCTTGTTGACAAATTTTTTTTATTGTAATTTTTAATTTAGAACTGTGATTCAAGTGATCGATCAAAAAAATCGTGGAATTGCGAATAGTAGAGATGCGATTCTAAATGATCAGCCGTGAAGGGAATCCTGTATTTTCATTTTTCTCTAAAAAGAGAATTACTTCGGCATAGACCGCAGTAATCCGCACGACATGCTGCACCGTGTAAAAGAAAAAAATGGCAGTTTCGAGACCGCAACGAAGCTGCGCGCCATTGCTCTTTACGCCATTTACTCTTATATGAGTCCGATATATGGTTCTGATATGGCTGGGATTTCGTTGACGTATTTTTCTTTGCCATCTAACTGAAATGAATCCATAAATATACTGAAAAAAAAGATTAGTTGCTGCAACAATTTAGATAAAATATGGTATAGCATTTTTATATGGCTGCAGCAACCAGTTTCTGGTTGTAGCAGCAAATTTTTAATTGTGTTAGCCTATCGATTATCGAAATCATATACTGACATTGCAGATAGGCTAACGCAACTAAAAATTTGCTGCTACAACCAAAAACTAGTTGCTACAACCATATAAAAAAATGCTGTGTCATATTTTACTATCTAAATTGTTGCAGCTACCAATCTTTTCTTTCAGTATATGTTTCGACCATTGATTATTAGTTATAAAAGAAATATTATCAATTGTGAAACGTAAAAAATAACCGATCGATTCTTAGCATTCATATCATTTTTATACATGATAATGTTATCCATAAAGTTTGACTACCACGAATGTGCCACAAGAATTTTTCATGAATTCTTTGACTAAACCGGAGACTCAGGTTTCATTAACAGAAACTTTAGGGGACATCGACTTCCTTCATAATTCTCTAACTCTTCGTCATTAAATATCTTCGTAACTAAAACTTGAGTTGAAATTTTATTAAAACAAAGTTTACTTGAGATTAATTTAACATGTAACTGTCACATGGCTTTAGAACAGTAATTTTATCTGCGATGAATGAAATTATGTATTATATTTTACGGACACAGAAATTTATTTAGTAATAATGACATTCGTCATCATTTTTGTGTTATCCATAACTTGACATTTCCCACAGACAGAGCTCTAAGAAAAAATTAAGACTAATTTTATTCAAGTCTTTCGTACATTACAATAATCTTCATCTTTGCTTTTGAATTTCAAATATGTATAAGATTTTTTTATCATATGGATGCGTTGTCATTTTTAGGACTTTTGTGTTTAAGAATTCATTAAAAAATATAAAATGTTACATCAATATGTACATCACGTGCATCTTCTATCATTCGTCTCATCTAGGCAAGAGCTTCGTGATTTCTCTTCCTTATGATCGCGCGCAGATTGGAGAGACAATTAATTAAACCCACGCGCTCGCAGGTACTTCGATGCACAATAATTATTACTCGAAGTGACGATTTGTGTTGCGGTCGAGCTCGCGCGCTCTAGATTGATACCACAGACGCGGCAGGACAAATGGGTACAATTCCCCGTGTGTGTCCCGTGAAAAGCGTAATACGCGTAACGTCCGGTCCGGCGACTACTCTCTATGAGATACATGTTATACATGGATATACACGCACGCGCGCACGTGACAGAGTCCCGGCACGCATGCACCCCGACGACTTCTGGGTGGTAGATCGTAATTACCATAAGTCGTGAAATATGACTTCATGATGACGCGC